CCTCCCTCCCTTTACCTAGGAAAACTATGGTCTTTCTCCACAGTGGGGACCAAAGCAGCTAACATTATTTTCCTCTTCTCCTTTTTATCCACACAACAACCCTATGAGGGTAGGTTCAGCTGAAAGTATGTGACTGATCCAAAATCATGCAGTCAGGTTCCACAGCAAGGTGGGGATCTGAACCTGAATCTCGCAGACCCTACTCTGAAGCTCTTAACTGGTACACCACACTGGCTTTTATAGGGTGGCTCCAGTTGAACAGTAGCAAGCAGCCCAGGTATACTTGAGTCATGCAAGTCAGGTGGTATCAAGTCACCCAGGCATAGGGTTGTTTCCAGGCCTGTGGTTGCCATCCTCCAGGTGGGATCTGGAGATTCCCCATAATTACAATTAAACTCCAAACATCTATCCCCCTGGAGAAAATGGCTGCTTTGGGGGGTGGAGTCTGTGACATTATGCTATGCTGAGGCCTCTCTGCTCCCCAAACCCTGCACTCCTCAGACTTCATCACAAAATCTCCAGGAACTTCCCAACCTGGAGCTAGAAACCCTAGTCAAGCCTGGGCCCAATGAGTCCTCCCTCAAAGGCCAAAAGTGGCATGGAAATGGCCCTTCCTTTTTCCTCACAAACTGAAGCCTGCAATACTGTGGCTGCCTAGCAACAGCCACTGAGGGAATCTATTTTTTAAAGCTACAGGTGCTCCTTTTATAATTTTTGGAATTTTTAAAAACCACCCAATATTTTTGAGGGTTTTTTTAAGATTTCACTTTTTTTCTTTTCTTTTTTTTTGCAATCCTGGTACCCTATTCAGGTTTGTCTTGCCCCTTCACAGCTCCAGTCACCATATTTAAGTATCGAAATATCTTAGTATTTAAGTATCTGAAGATGTAGCTGACTTCACTATCTCTCCTTATATATAATTGAATAGTGGTATCTTAGTATTTAGTTACTTAGTATTTAAGTAACTAAAGATGTAGCTGACTTCACTATTAGAATATAAGATGGAGGATGGTTGTTTTTAAAGAAAGCAAATATATAATGTCTGTGCAAACTTGGGCGGCTGATTGGTATACTAATGGAATTCCCTGATCACTACTACCATGTTTAAATAATAGAGAGTAGATGCTTACTGTGTGGGCTTAAATATCTGTACAGATCACTATGATTTTATCTCCCTCCTAGCCTCTGCTTTTCAGGTGATATCTGCAGAACACACAGTCAAAACTATCTGAGCAATTGTTTGCACAGATCACTACGATTTTATCTCCCTCCTAGCTTCTGCTGTTCAGGTGGTATCTGCAGCACACCCAGTCAAAACTATCTGAGCAATTGTTTGCTCAGACACATGTAGCAATCTGTACCTTGTGTATAAGTTTGGCAGATGCTTCCAGAGCAGGATTGCCATGTCATTGATGACTTATTTACTCAGCTCTTCCATTAACTGTTGACTTACAGCGTCTTGAGGCCTGCAGGAGGAGGGTCAGTAGAATAGACACACGAATCTGCTGTTTCCCTCTGCTCCTTTTCATAGATATCCCTCCAATGCCTGTCCGTCTTGCTCCCTCTCTCACTCACATGGGATAAACCCAAGCCTAACACAGGCTATGTGTGGATAGTACAAATGTTCCATTTCAGAGAGTGTCTTTATTAGTTGCTGGATTCTGTCCAATAAGCTAGTAGCCCTGTTTTCTTTTAAAGCCTTTACTTCAGCTTTGAAAGCTGTTGTGCTGCTGTTACAGTTCTCATGGAGCATGTGATAAACACCTCATTTGCAGCATCCCATTCCCTGCTTGAAACTGTATCTTGTGTCAGACTGCTTACCAAAACAGTAACTGTGTTTACATTGCTTGAAGGGATTTGACGCAAACGGGAGAAAGCTGGTGAAGTTGTATACTTTCACACAAACACCGCCCCCAGTGTGGTTATGCCTGCTATGTTCAAGTTGCATACAGATCCTAGTTGCCTGCAGCCATTGGGTCTAAACACAGCACTGCGCCAGCTTCCTTTCCTTTTAACTGTTTATCTGCTGTGTGTAATGCTGTTTATCTGCTGTGTGTAATGTCCCTTCGCTTTTGACTTCCTTGGGCGGAACTATGATCTGGTGCAGAGAACCCTGGGGCTACTTAGCAATTTATTGGGGGATCCTCAGTGAAAATATCGGTGATGGCTGGCAGGCTCCTCAGAGAGCCCAGCTAGACATTGCAAGAGACACAGAGCCAGTGCTGCTATGTCTCTCTCTTCCTGGTAACAGATTCTACACTGTGATGTGGGAAGAGAAGGAAATATAGGCTTAATTATCAAGGATGCATGCAATAAGTAAACTGCCTCAGTACAGAATTTAAAACTGAAGTCTGCAGCCCTCCCGTTTAACGTCTAGCTAGTTAGACCCCGAAGGACAGTTTTCCCATAATTACTCATCTTTCCCTTCCGTTTTCTGTCACACAGGAATGTTGAGTGTAATCTAGGGCTTTCATTGTTTATGGAACACGATGGGGAGGCCTAAGAGACTTTGTCAGTGACCTGTGTGCCCACTGTTATGAAACTTTGGTTTTGATAGTCTCTCACCTTGTGGAAACACAATGCAGCTGATGAATGGGTTATCTGTTTTTGTCTGGAGTCCAAATTTCTTATTATGACTTCTTCTGAGAACTAAGGCCAAGGTTGTCTGTAGATGATAGGAATGTCGCAATAGGACTCCGTAGAAAAAAAATATATTTGAAGAGAGGTTTTTTGACAAAGAAGTCAATAATTTAAACACAACTACCCAGGTTCCTCATTTTGATTATGTCAGAACAACCATTTATGGCTGCACAACAGTTCTTCCAGCTATGAGGTTTAAAAGATAAAGCCAGGATGACTGGGCCCTTGTAACTAGGGGTCTGCATTCCCTCAGAAGAGCTTTCTGTGACACTGAAATCTCTCAGGTGCCTCTGCAATGGTGCACAAGGTGACCATTCTCTGAAGTACAAAGCTTGAAAAACAGTCTTAGAACTCTTTCAGAGCTGGAGGGTGACACGCAATTGTCATGTTAAAATGGCTTATTGAGGATGTTTCTAGGAAGGATTAATTTTTAGGAAATATTCATTTCAAGCTTCATGGCTGTTCTTCTTTAGTATGTGAAAGTTATAAAAGATAAACAGTTTAAAGCTAAGGAGGTTATTTAAAATTAGATTAAGTATATTATAGGGGTGTATTAAGTATATTCTTACTAGCAATTATACACTGTGGCTAAATTTTATTTAATGGTTATTATCACATAATAGCTGCACTTCTACCCTGATTATGTTACCTTTATTAATAATACATAATGTTTTCCTTTATTTATGCCTTTTTCACAGTCTATCTTTTGCCTGTACCCTTATATCCTTGGTTGCATATAATGTTCAGTAGGTTAGCACCAGTGCAATAGCACAACCTTTATCTTGAAGGAGATGTCTGGTCTTTGAAATCTTTCCAGGGCTCTTCCAAGAATTCGCCACACTTTCTGAAATTTCCCCTGTTAAAAGTGCCTCATTTTAATTTTCTATATGTGTTGTTCTGGTGGCTTTTGTGGAGTATGAATACATAAATCAAGTTTATTACCCCGCTAGTCCAGGTTACTCTGCCCTCCAAAATGGGATTTCAGAATGCTGATTACTAGGAAACGGCCCTTAATAATACTGATGAACTTCTGTGAGCTTGAAAAAGAATGAACCATCTTAAACCAGAAACATTTTTTTGTATTTTGGGGTTTTTTTACTTCCAGCTTTGTGATGGCTAAGCATTTTTAATGCAATCACTGCATTATATTGTATTTTCCTAAAGTATTGTTTTGGAAAGGTGTGAAACTATGTGAAGTACTTGATACTCGTGTTAGGAGAAAAGGAGCTGTTGAAACTCTGTGTTTGAAATCTTGTTTAATTATTTAGCCTAAAACGTCTGTTACATGTATGATAATTCTTGCTCCTACCTGAATCTGTAGAGCTAAGTTATCCATTGCATTAGTCTTCATTAGCTTGTATTTATGTCTCATGCTAGTATTATAGGAAGATATTTAGTTGTTTCATGCTGTCAACATATCAGTCCATCAGGATTTTCTTTCCCAGCCCCTCTTCTTAATCTCAATAACGAGATGCTAAGGATTAAAGGGCCATAGTTTATATGGCTCATAAAGACCATAGTTCAGTGACAGAACAGATTGCAGTTTGGTATTGTTACTTAGCTAGAGGGTCTGACAGCCAGACTGGGAAAGACCCCTGCTGAGGCCTTGGAGAGTCATTGCCAGAGATGAATCATTTACCTCCCCTAGTAGGATGAGCAGCAGAATCAGAAACTGGGAATTCAGAGACATTCAGCAGCAGCAACATCTGTAAATTTCCTTTGCACATAAAGAAAGATACCCTGCTAATCTGCACAAAAGTAATGAAAGTGCATTCTGTTCCTCATAATGAGTGAGCTTTTGTGTATTTTCACTTCATTTGGGAGCATGGCCATTTGATTCCTGTGCTGTCTAGAGAGAACACCTGCAGTGCTCCAAACCCAAGGACAACTCTTGGATTATTATGCATGGATGCCATTTTGGCTTCAGCCTTTTGGATGTTAAGGATAAATACAGATTTCCTTATAAATATGTCCTTGTTCATCATGATGAAGCATTCAAAGCAGAATGGCAGATATTTCTGTGCATGAAGAGTTTGCTGTGCTTTCCTTCCTTTTGTAAATGAATAGGTGAAGGTGCCTATCCTTAAGTGATCGCTCAGGCAGACAATTAAGTCTTAAAGCCATTTAAAAGGTCAAACAACCCTCCCCCCCAGTGCCACAGACTGTTCTAGAATTCTATTGTTATGTTTGGCCCTCAAAAAATACATTAAATTGATAATATAAAGTGCTGCCTAGAGCCGAGCCCCTCACTCCTGTCTCGTGCAATAAGAATTAGTAATTTACTGTGCTAGAAATTTCTTAGGTCTTTTGTATAACATACCTGCCAGTCACATTCATAACCCTCTCTTAACTGTACTCAGTGTTTCCTTTCAGGAGAATGCGGACTACACTTATGTGCAAAGAGTGTGTGTACCACTGGATCATGGGACCTTGTTAATAATGGAAGGAGCTACTCAAGAAGACTGGCAGGTAAGGCTCCCCAGGAATAGGTGATGCAAACAGGGCAGCCTTCTTCTGTATTCTTCACAGTGCTACATTTTATTTCCCCCTGGATTTCAACAAGGAAGCCCATCAGGCAACCTAAGATTGCCATAGTTTAATAAGGAGTTAACACTTGAGTAGTGAATGAGAGGAGAGTTGATTGCAGTGCAGTTGGGCTCCCATGCCCATGAAGCTGCCCATGCCTACCTCTCAAACTGTAAAGATTTCATTTAAATGTTACGGTATTTTTTCTAGTAAACCAGCAATGAAGAGGCAGAGGCAACATATCCCTTCATTGCAGTATTGTTACATGGTGAACTGGAACAAGCTGTAAAGAATGAATTAAATCAGGAGAAGTAATTTAAGTTGTGGGTTTTTTAATGGGTAAAGATTTTAAGCCTTTTGGCTTTGACTTAAGCACTAACTATGAACATAGCAGGAGAGTAAATCCAAAAGAGAAAGCAAAAATCTTTCTGTCTTGTTTACATACATAATGAGCGCATTTTGTTTTGCTTCTCTGAATGTCTCAGCATCGTGTACCCAAGGAATATCACTCCAGGGAAGCTCGGATAAATCTGACATTTAGGACAATGTATCCAGACCCAGAGGCAGTATGAACTTGAATGAAAGCATCTGTAGGACTGTTGACTTGCTGCTGATTCCTGACATTAATGCTGGTTTGGAAGAGGCAGCCTTCATGCATTCAGAGTTCTGCTTCCTAACATCTGAAGGCACAAAGAAAAAGGCTGCTGTGATGAAAACCTATGATGGCTGCAAGCTCCCACTGGTGGTGTGAGTGCCTTTTTCCAAGATGGTTAGCAAAAATGTGGTGCTCAGTGGTATGAGTGCCTTTTTCCAGAATGGTTAGCAAAAATGTGGTGCTCAGTGGTAAACAGGTTTGCTTTATTGAAAAGACACAATCTACACTCTCTTGTCATATTGGAATTAATGCCTGACAAGTTTGAACCAAACATCTGACAGTTCACTAATACGTGACTAGTGCTTTTAAATAGAATTTTCCCTTGGGAGAGTTGAGAGTGGATGTCTTGGCAGAGCAGAGTGACACTGGTATTTTTTGTTTATACTGTGCTAAATAAAAGTACACTTGTCTTCTGTATATGAATAAGAATCTTCATTTAACCCCATAGACAACATCAGGGTCCAGCTTTTGGTGGTGTTCATAGCCTATATAAGGCCCAGCTCCAATGAGAGTTCCAAACCCAAATGGGGATAACAATGTGGAAATTATAAGCGTTCGCAGGTGAGAAGAGCCACAGTGTGATAAGGTGACACGCATGAGGTCATACAATATGGTAGACTTCAGAAACCATATCACCCATCTTCATGCTTTATTCATCGTTTAACTATGATACATTCTTGAACAATACTGACTATATGGGAAGAACAATCAAATTTATTTAGGGAGACATATTGGCTAAAATCAATTAGCCATACACCCTCACCCTGAGTATCTCAAATAGGATATTACCAAATTTCATATCCTTCCATTTATTGGGGGGAGGGGGTTTGTCCCAGAAGAAACACATGAAGCTGTCTTATAATGAGTCAGACCACTAACTTGTCTAATTTAGAAATGTTCACTCTAACCTGGGTAAGGCCTCAGACAAGTGTCTTTCCTAACAATGTTACCTGCTGGGTTTTTTAAAGGAGATGCTAGAGATTGAATTTAGGACTTCTTGCATACAAAACACAGGCTCTGAGCTTTGGTCCCTCCTTAAGGGTACAAGGAGTATGCAGAATCTGAACTTGCAGCCATGGACATAATTATCGCAATGGAACCATTGTGATGGCCCTGTGATCCTAGTAGCAATATTCTAGCATGTGCTGTGAAAGTAAGGTGCAGCATTTCTCCTATAGAGCTGTCTTGTATCCATCCCCTTCCTGTCAAAGTACCTTTTGTCATGCAGTCAGGTAACACTTACAGGTCTTCCATGATCTCACTTAGTATCATTTGGCAACTTATTCTTCCAAACCATTGTGAGCTTCTCTACTGCATTTCTTGAGCTCAGCATCAGGAGCCATAGGCAAGAGAAAGCTTCTGGGTGCTCCAGGGTGAGGAATCCTTGCCAAAAACTGCCTGGCTACCTGCCACTAGTAGTAGTAGTAGTAGTAGGTGTTGGATTTTTTTTCTGTCTGAGACCCTGCAGAGCCCCTGCTAGTTGATAGATAACACTGAGCTAGATGAGCAACTGGTCTGACTTCATATAAGGTAGCTTCGTCTGGGCATCTGTATCATCTGTTCTCAATAATGTGAACCATCCACTTGCCCGAATGTTTACATTATTCATGGCAGCAATGGGAAACGTACCGTTTCGGCATATGAAAAATCACCACTCGCTCATCTCCTAAAAGTGTGGTTGCGATCAAGTTGGAGAAGTCATACAAGGTTGCTTAAGTTTTTAGTACGGGAAAACTAAACTCCAAACATTGGTAGACACTGCCAAAGCATCTTGTGTTCTGTGTTTCTCCCACTGAGTGATTTTTTTAAATAACATTTTATTTTTGAGACAAACACACACACAGATCAGGGGGTTCCATCACCAAAGTATCTAGTTATATATCTTATACAATATCTAAATATCTATTTTCTATAGTCCACCTTATTTTTATATTCTTTTGGAATTGGTTTAAAATAAACTTCCTGTTCCTTTCAAATTGGTTATATGTCAGTCTAATTTATAAAATCTTGAAAAATTGTATAGTCTCTCTTGTCCAAAGGGTTTGACCTTCTCTTAAAAGTATATATAATCTCACATATCTAGAAAGTTTTAACCCTTTTTGTAGGATTTCATCTTCATTCTCTGGTTTCTCCTCTTAAATTTTAAAGTCTTAATTCTGTGTCTTTTCCCCTTGTATATAAGGAAAATAGCTTCTGGAAGTGGCCCTCTATATTCAATTCTTTGGATGATTTGGGGTGCCATATATTATTTACTTTTCTCCCTCTGAAGGAAAATTTCATTTGCTGCTGTAAAGATTTCATCTCTTGTCATTCTTTCATATAATCTCACATTCAGTTCGCCAAACATTTTGTTTCTTTTTGTATATATTGGCTTCCTTCTGTAGGCCATGTCATTTTGCTTGCAGACTTCATCTGTATTTTCTGTATCCATTTCTCTCACAAAGATGTATGCCATAGGAGGTCCTAAAACTGATAGACAACTCAAAAACTGATAAATCATCAGGCCCAGATGGCTGAATAGGAGGAGAAGGAGGTGGGCAACCCCCACATTCCAGACCAGGCCCAGATGGCATACATCCGAGAGTTCTGAAAGAACTCAAATGTGAACTTGTGGATCTCCTGACAAAAATATGTAATCTTTCCTTAAAATCAGCCTCCATTCCTGAGGACTGGAAGGTAGCAAATGTCACTCCCATCTTTAAAAAGGGTTCCAGAGGAGATCCGGGAAATTACAGGCCAGTCAGTCTGACGTCGATACCGGGTAAATTGGTGGAAACCATTATTAAGGAAAGAATTAGTAGGCACATAGATGAACAAAACCTATTGAGGCAGACTCAGCACGGGTTCTGTAAGGGAAGATCTTTTCTCACTAACCTGTTAATGTTCTTTGAGGGGGTGAACAAACATGTGGACAAGGGGGATCCAATAGATATTGTTTACCTTGACTTCCAGAAAGCTTTTGATAAAGTTCCTCATCAAAGGCTCCTAAGTAAGCTCAAAAATCATGGGATAAAAGGACAAGTCCTTTTATGGATCAAAAACTGGCTAATTAATAGAAAACAGAGAGTGAGTATAAATGGGCAGTTCTCTCAGTGGAGGGTGGTAAGCAGTGGGGTACTGCAGGGATCAGTACTTGGTCCACTGCTTTTTAACTTGTTCATTAATGATTTGGAGTTGGAAGTAAGCAGTGAAGTGGCTAAATTTGTGGATGATACAAAGTTGTTCAGGGTGGTGAAAACCAGTGAGGATTGTGAGGCACTCCAAAGGAATCTGTCGAGGATGGGCAAGTGGGC